TAAGTGTCAAAATTTGGTGATCTCAAGTTTGCATGAACATGCAAACTTGACTCTTTAAATAGAGTGATCATGATACTTGGAGGGGATTCTTCATCTTGATGAAAAACCTTGAGAAAAACTTCTCACAAACACTCTCTTTCACATATACAAAATCCCTCCCAAGTTTAGTCACTCACCGGATTCCACAATCCCGTTCTAAGGCCGGAGGATAATGGAGAAGACACTAGTGGTGGTTCGAAACCGGTTCGTGAGGCAAAAAGAGTTTGAACTACAAAAGGTTAGTATTTAAATTCATTAAGTTTTAATACTTATAAACATGCTAGTAATTTACAATAATTGATGTTTTAAAAGTGCCTAAGATCCAAATTGCTTCCGCATGTGTTATAATAACACCAACAGAAAGAGCCTATAACACTGCACATACAGGATTAAAACCGAAACCCTAATTAGAAAACTCTGACTGGACCGTTTGATAAAAACTGAATTGCACTAGATAATTTTTCGAAAATTTTGTGAGGAACGTGGAAACTCTATGATTTCGGCGCTTACGATCGGCAGCCAGCACCCAAAACTTGTTTAATTTTTGGCCAGTTTTGTTTGACAAACATCGGGGTGACAATGACGGCTATTTGCTAGTGTTTTAGGGCAGTTCCGAAAAGCTTCCTTTACTTTCCGATATCCTAATAATCCCCTAGGAAGTAGTTCTCGTTCTTGAATGTCGAAGAAAGATAGCCTATAGCACTGCATGTACGGGAGTAGCCGTTGATAACTTTTCGACAATTTTGTGAGTAATGTTGAAATTTGACGATTTCAACGCTTACGATCGGAAGCCAACACTCAAAAATGGTTTCGCGCTCAACCAGTTTTCATTCGACCGATGTCGGGGTGCCATTGGTGGTTATTTGCTTGCTTTTTAGGCTGTTTCAAAAGTTTGCTTGCATTCTATGGCAGTTTCGAAAAGTTGCCTTCTCTTTTTGTTGTCCAAATAATTCCATGGGAAGTAATGCTTCGACTTGAATGTTGAAGAAATAGAGCATATAACACTGCACACACGGGATTATAATCGAAACCCTAATTTAGAAATTTTGGTTGGGCCGTTTGAAAAAAATTGAGTTGTAGTCTATAACTTTTCGAAAATTTTGTGAGGAACGTTGAAACTAGACGATTTCCATGCTTACGATCGATAGTCCGCACCCAAAAATACGTCTCTGAAAAAAGAGAGCATATAGAATCTTGAGTCCTTTCGTCTCGCTGGTATCGCGCTCCAAGGAGAAAAGTTTGTTCGTCGTCCGTCTTTCTCTCTGTATTTCACGCTCTCAGATGATAAAGATTGCTTGACTTAGAAAAATAGGAGTGTTTAAAAAGGGAGCGACGTGGGCTGATTTGTGTATGGAGATTATATTTTTAAATTAAGCTACAAATTAAGATTTGAATTAAGTTAAAACTATAATATTTATTAAGTCTTTAAATTATATTTTTTTAAATGCTAAATTATATAGTTTTATTGACCAATTAGCTTATCTTTTTTTATGATACAAGGATTCATTAACAAAAAAGAATTGGACAAACAAAAGTTAATTTTGATTTAATCCTTTAAATTTTGATTATTAAACAAACAGCTGCAACTTCTTCTAACCAGTAATCAACTGTTTATTGATTCATTTCACTAAAAAAATTCGTGATCGCTAGGGTTTTGGCTTTATCCGCTTTGATCTTGTTCGTGACAATTTTCAACATATTAGATAAGGATCCAAAGCTGAAATTATTGTTATCGAGCATGAAATTGTTGTTATCTCGAGGAAATTATGGTCTATGTTTATGAGCAATATTGAGTGTTGTCTGGAAGCCCTTTATGAAGACGAATTGAAGCATGACTGTCCTGATGCTATGAATAACTTTTCATAGGATATCTTTTTGGTCATAAAGGTTATAAGTGGTATGATATGCAATCTCACCAATTCTTTTGCAGTCGTGATGTTAAATTTTGTGAAGATTATTTTTTTTTTCCAATCATTTCACAAACTTTGACATTAGCTCCTTTGACTCCCGTTTTACCACTTCATGATTCATCCTACTCAAACATCTATTCTAGTCCTATCTCACCATCTATTCCTTCATCCACTACTTCATCATCTCCTCCACCTTCTATTCCTTCTCCAGATTGACCCACTAATTCTAATCCTATCACACCTGATACATCAGTTTCACTCCGACATTCTACTCATACCATACTGCCTCCAGCTTGGCATAATAATTATGAGATGTCTTCTACAGCTAATCATTTAACCTCTATCTCAAGTCCCAACACTAGCGTCAGGTATCCCCTTCATCATTACCTTTCATTCTCTCGTATTTATCCTATTCAACGTGCTTTTCAAGCTCTTATTACAGCCCAGAAAAAAGTTGGCGACCCATTATGGCAGCAGGCTATAAATGATGAAAGTGCAGCTTTGGAACGTAATCATACTTGGTCTCTCGTTCCTCTACCACTTGGCCATAAAGCTATTGGTTGTCGTTGGGTGTACAAGATTAAATACAACTCTGATAGTTCTATTGAATATCATAAAGCTCGACTGGTAGCAAAGGGATACACTCAGGTTGAAGGTATTAATTACAAATAGACATTTGCTTCTACGACAAAACTTACTACACTTCATTATTTACTCACTATTGCTGCTCGAAAATGGTTCACTCATCAGTTGAATGTTCAAAATTCCTTTCTCCATGGTAATCTAGATAAGGAAGTCTATATGTCTTTACCACCAGGTCTTCGCCGATAGAGGGAGAATACAATATGTCGGCTCCATAAATCTATATATGGGTTAAAACAGGCTTCTCACAATTGGTTTTCCATATTCTCTACCACTATACAAAATGCAGGCTACACTCAGTCCAACGCAGATTACTCTTTATTTACTAAGAGTAAAGGTACTACTTTCATTGCCGTTCTTATCTATGTTGATGATATTTTGTTGACAGACAATGATCTTAAAAAAAATTCAACATCTCAAGACTAGCTTACTCGAGAAATTCCTTATTAAATATTTAGGGAATTTGAAATATTTCCTAGGCATTGAATTTTTTTGATCTAGAAAAGAAATTTTTATGTATCAAAAGAAGTATGCTCTAGACATTAAGAGACAGGTCTTACAGGAGCACGTCTAGAAAAATTTTCGATGGAGCAAAATCTGAAACTTTCTTTAACAGAAGGAGAGAAGTTGAATGATCCATGTAAATACAGACGGTTGATTGGGAGATTAATATATTTAACTATTACTAGGCTTGACATAATGTATTTAGTTCGTATGTTTAGTCAATTTATGCAGGAACGAAGAAAACCACATTGGGAGGCAGCTCTTCGAGTATTGAGATACATCAAAGGTACTCCTGGTTAAGGACTTCTACTATCATCTGAAAATAACTTAAGATTACAAGTATATTGCGATTCTGACTGGGGTGGTTGTCGAACTTCCAGACGGTCTATTTCTGGGTTCTGCATTTTCTTTGGAAATTCAATTATTTCTTGGAAGTCTAAAAAGAAAATCAATGTGTCCAGATCATCAGCAGAAGCCGAGTATCGAGCTATGACAAATACTTGTTTAGAGCTAACTTGGTTAAAATACATTCTTCAAGACTTGAAATTCCGCTATTTGAACCAACATTATTGTATTGTGATAATCAAGCAGCATTACATATAGCAGTCAATCCAGTTTTTCAGGAACGTACGAAAAACATTAAAATAGATTGCCATATAGTTGGAGAAAAGTTACAAGCTGGAATCATCAAACCGTGTTATGTTTCGACTAAAATGCAATTGACAGATGTTTTTTACTAAAGCTTTGGGAAGACATCAATTTGATTTTTTCAAAAATAACTTGGGTGTGATTGACATACACTCTCCCATTTGATAGGAGTATTAAGATATAATATTTGGAGAATAGTAGTATATTCAGTATATTTTCCCTTATTTTTAGTAATTAGTTTGCTGCTGGTATCCTATTCAAATTTGTGAATATCAATGAAGATTGAACCTTCCATTCCACTTCTACTTCTGTTTCTCATTCTTAACATATATGAATATGTTATTTAAAAAGTTATTGGCCTCATGATTATGATTATAGGTATAAAATTCAAACTTTTATTAGTTATGAATCGTGCCTCATGTTATGCAATAGTAAAAAATAGTAACTAGAACATTTAGTCTAACTAAGCTAAGAGTAAGACAACTATATTTACGAGAAATTCATATGAATAGATAGAGTTTTGCTCTGATGGGGAAGTAACTAATGATAAGAAAAGAAGTAGATACCAGTCATAGTCTCGGGTCAATGACAAGTTTAAAATTAAAATAAAAAAGCCGAAAAATTTACGTACCTGCTAAGCTCGAATGTTGCATCAATATTATCTAAAAATGTTTAAATGAAAAAAAAAATAAAGCGCAAGGATGGAAATCATATATTAGCATATACTCCATTATTTAATGTGTGAATAAAATATAGTAAAATTAAAATAAATAATAATAATAATAATAAAAAACTGTAACCGGATAGTAAGGCATATATATGGAATATTCTAAAAATAATTCTCCATTTATCATCTTTGTTACACTGAAAGATAAAAAGAAAAAAATATTCCCTCATACTATTTTTTAGGATAGGGACTAAATCAATACAAAGTTCAAAGGATAGAAAATACATCGTTACGTATTAAAATTTATGGACTAAATTCTTAATTATACGGATTAAATCGCTACAAATTAAAATTTAAAAACTAAACTATATTTTAGTTATTATAAATGTAAATTTGCTTTGATATAATTAATTGAAGAGAAATTCGAATATCGAAATATTAGAGTGAATAGAACTTAATTATTTGAGATAAGATCAGATTAAAATCACTCCCTTGTACGATGCCAAAAGTAAAAATTAAGATGATATAAACAAATATATATTTTCTAAAGTGTATTTTTTTAAATGGAAGAATAGATGTTCAATTTCATGATTATCTCGTAACTAAATTAGTTATAAATAGAGCTATCAACCAAGAACGAAGTAAACATTGATATCAAGTTTAAAATGGCGCACGCTTGTAAGTATATCTTTTAATCATATTTTCTTCTCTTCTTCCCTTTTGTAATATACTTAACTACTTTTAGTCTTTACTTAACGGTTTTTTTTTTTTTTTTGTGCATGTTTTAGTAAAATCATGGCCAGAACTGAATTTCGTGGATGCTAGGATTGTAGAAAATATTATAAAGAAGAACCATCCTGAATTTCAGATAGTGGTATTGTTAGCCGGAAGTCCAGTAACCAAAGATCTTAAACATGGACGAGTTCGACTGTTTGTTAATATACTCGGTATAGTGGTTGAAATTCCTCGTGAAGGGTAAAATGTCTTAAATAAATATGTTTGAGATAATGCATAAATAAAGAATAATATTTCTACTACTAAACATATTCTCTTTATAATAATTATGTCAATTTGGTTGGGAGACTATCTTTAAGGCTTGTTGTTGGTTTTGTAAATAAATATTGGGATAAATTTTAATTTTAAAATTTTTTTGTCAAATTTACTACAAACTTTTTTTTAATCTTTTTAATGAAAACTCATTAAGCATATATTTAATCAACAAATTAATTTACTTTAATTAAATGAATTATTATTCTAAATTAATTCTTTAAAACCTGGTTTAACAACAAAATTAATTGAATGAATTTAATAATAAAAGGATCTGTAATATTCAGATTTTTGTGTGTTCCTTTCTCCATATTTCGTTAGTCAATGATTAGACTATGGATGAGAAAAAGAAAAAGAGAAAACACTGAGTAGTCCGTGGGATTAGAATAACTTATAACTTAATGATTCAGATATCATCAGTGAAGAATTCAGGATTACCGAGCGAAAAACCATGCTTAATGTTGCTGACAAAGCTATATCATTTGCTATTGTATACATGAATATAACATAACTAGATTAATGAACTTTTACGTAGTAAAGCATGTTAGATGCATAATAGCATGGATACTGTCTGATATCAATTCATTAGCGAATACCGATGTGTTTATAAAATTGATAGCGTCTTATGATGCTTCGTTATAGAAATTATACTATTCGTAATGTAATTCATGATTGTTGGCCTTATTACTAAGTTTTATGTGGGATTAGAGAATAAATTTCTAACAGTAAACTTTAGCTTGAGGGCCAAAGGACCACAATAATATCTTATAATTCAAAGAAGCATGGAGGTCATTCTCCTCGTGATTGAATTATTAAGTTATAACACAGAGTCTATTAAAGAGTTATCGGTTAATCTTTAATAGTGAATCGTCTCGATTGATAGATCTGTATTTGTTTCGGATGTGTTTGCGGAGCTAAAGTCATACTCTAGATGCATATGGTACATGTGCTATTAGGTTATTACGTGTGGGTTGTCAGAGACTCTACAACTATCTTTTGATAACGAACTTGTTTGAAGAAACAAGGTCTACATCATAACATCATGATAGTTGTCGGACACAAGGCTCACTCTCACGAGAATATGACTATATAAAATTATTTTGGCTCGTTGTGTTCACCAAAGTTTCTTAAGTTCCTTTGAAACAGTAGGAACAAGAATCATCCAAGTTTTGTTCAGTATTGAGTTTCAATTTTTAAAGGTACTAAAAAACAATATATATTATCTTCTCTCGTTTTTCTGGTGATTATGACCAAGTTCTTTTAAATTGCTTCGTGGTTTTGAAGGGAATACCTTCCTCGACCTTTTTTAAGAAGAAAATTTTTCTTGTAAATGTCTCGAGATTGGGGCTGCTTACTTGGGAAACATTCCTATTTTCTAACTTAATTTTCAAATTCCATCTTCCTCTATTTATAAGGAGGTAAATTAGAAGTATATTATCCCTTAATCCTCAAATTCCACATATTCTAAGAAATGCTCTCTTCTCCTTCCCAACCGATGTGAGATCTCACAATCCACCCCACTTCGGGGCTCAGAGTTCTCGTTGACACTCGTTCCCTTCTCCAATTGATGTGGGACTCCCCAATCCACCTCCCCTCGAATCTCAACCTCCTCGCTGGCACATCGTCCCATGTTTGATACCATTTATACAGGCTCAAGCCCACTGCAAGCAGATATTATCCTTTTTAAGGTTTCCCTTGAAGTTTTAAAAAATGTGTATGGGATCTCACGTGATTGTTCTGTAATCATGAGAATTTGTGTTAGAAATAATCATTTTTAGGAGCTATGACCTAGATTTAAGAACCCAATTAGCTTTAATTGACTCCGTACTTTTCTCTTTTTATATCTAATATTAAATATTAATATGAACCCTTCAAATTCTTATTTTACCTCCATTTTCCTTTTAATACTTGAGCTTCAATAATACAAAAGTAATAAATAAAATTTTAAATTAATCATTTTTCATACATTAATTATAGGTCACTGTATTATAGACATATAGTTGCACTCTTATGCACTATAAGAAGAGCTATATCTATTGATATAGTCATTATAAGCAATTCAGTCCTTCACAAGTTGCTTGTAATCATAGTTGGGTCAAAAATATGTTTTACCTGTGTTCTTGCATCTTACACCTTAAATATCACTGATACTCTAATGAGTAACTTGTTTATGATCTATACTAGCATAATTCTTGGCTAACCAACCCATTCCCACCTTCTTGTGACAATCTATACGGACATAATTCTCGGTTAACCAATCCATTCTTAATATGACGTTGAAGTTTGTCATACCACTACTTTCATGTCTATACTTATGGTTCGTCCAGCTACTATTATTTGTCCATCTTTTATCCTATTCTTAGTAACTAGATCTACCCTCGTTGGGTACTAACAATTAACACATGCAATAAGGGTTCTACTTCAAACATTGCTTAACTAACAAATGACATGGATATAAAAAAATGCGTAGAAGTATAATCAAACAATGTTAATGTGTAGTGTCCCAGTATGGATAGTATACATGTCACCACGGTGTATGATGTTCCAACGTCCCTACTGGTGGATTCATAAGCTTTTGCTTGTGAGTGGGTTAGCATAGTTTGCTCACTTCCTCCGAAACCTCTTGGTGGTTCGATTGGATTCTCAGTGCAGTACTTAGCAATGTGGTCCTCATGACCACATCTGAAATAGGCCCTAAATTCGGCCATACATTTGCCCCAATGTTGTTCCCGCATTCGTGGTATAGTAGTTTTTCAGCCTCATTGACCCTCTCCTGGTCTCTAGGGTATCTTTCCACATGTCTTGTAGGGTATCTGTCAGCATATCGAGGCCTTCAGCCCGTGGTCGACAGTCCAACTCCCTCGTTTCATATTGTCACTTCCTTCCGACAGTGATCGTTGATTTCCAACGTACTTCATCTTTAGGCTTTTCCAAAGCCTTGGCTGTTCTCAATGCCTCCTCATAAGTGTTTGGATCTATAGTTTCCACCATGCGGAGATTCTTTGAGTCTAAGCCCATAACAAATTTCTTAGCCATTTTTTGATCTATGTCCACTAGGGAAGGCACAAATCTCTTCGGTCTCATGCATTCCTAGGTGTATATGTCCACAGAACGTCCACCCTGTGTTAGGTGAGTGAACTCTTGTTGTTTCTTGAGACGGACTATCTTGGGAAAGTACTATTTCAAGAATGCCTCCTCGAACGTGTTCATGTTATAACACTCCCATTGAGGCAGAGGAGTTTTGTGTTATCCGTTAACCATATTTTTGCTTCCTTCTTCAGCATGAACAACGCGTAGGACACTTTCTGATCATCTGGACATTCAATTAGAAAAAATATCGTCTCCATCGATGAAATCCACATCTGAGCTTTCGTAGGATCTCCCGCAGTTCCACTGAATGTGTGCGAGTCATATCGTTTGAAGTTCGTAAATATCTCGCTCCTCTAGTAGAATGCGAGCTATAAGATTGTTGGGTGGCCATCATAGTATGCATCATTGCCTGGAACGATTCTCACATCAAGCTTGTAATGGGATTAATCCCAGCCGCTGGTAATGTTGGAGGTGGCGCAACTTAGGGCGGTACAGCTTGGGGTGGTGCAGCTGTGTCGTTCTCATCACTGAACCTTCACGAAGTGGGCAATCTCCACCCCCCCCCCCCCCCCCC